GAGGAAGCCAAGAAGGGCAAGAGTAAATGGGAGGTTGCCACGGGGAAACCCTTCAATGGAACCCTCTACCCCTTGGGGGCACTTGTCTTTTATCATGCTAAGAGCAGTGATGGCATGGCAGCGCCAACCACACGCCCTGCCATCTTTGCGGGATGGAAGATGGAGCCAGGCCTTAGACATAGGGACGTAGTGCAAGTTCTAGACTACGAAGCTCTTAGGCAACTGTCTCATAAGTATTGGGTTCCAAAGGATGTGCATCAGAAAGAAGTTTACTTTCCACCTGTTGAATACATTGAAATTACAACGTGCTGCACAAAAATCCCTTCTTGATGTTACTGATCACATGCATGAGCTTAGGAAAGCGGAGTTTGACAGATCACTCGAAAGGGGGGTACTTCCGTATGAAGTTGCCATTGATGCGGTACCGTACTCAGGAAAGGATGGGGGAAAAGCCAGACACTCGTACATCACTTTCGGTAGGCTTATAGAGCATGGATTTACCAAAGGTTGCTCAGGTTGTGACAATGGCGCCACTCGCCACTCACAAGAGTGCAGGGATCGCTTTGATAAGCTATATCCCAAGAGCTCGCCGGCGGAGACCAAACCGGAGGCGTCATCAGACGCACCTGTGCCAGAAACTCCTGTGCCTGTGCCACCAACGCCAGGATTTGTTCCTGCGCCATCCACGCCAAAGCCTCGGATCAAGGAAGGTGATCCTGGCTACGATCCCAGATCTGAAGGGCCAGGGGATCCAGGATACATTCCGCCTTCAGCGGAGGCATCTTCCAGCAAGACTGCTGCGATTGCGACGCAGGATCCATCTTGTGACAAGGACTCACTTGAGTTGGACTTGTATGCACTCGTAACAAAATTGCTAGATAGAAAGGAATGGATAAAAGATCCTAAAGCCGTGGCAAAAGTCAGGGAGGAATTTGACGGCTTAACCGGCAAAGACACGTGGGATCTCGACTCGGTCGATGAGCATGAGAACATCGTGCACAATGCCAAGCTAGCCGGCAAAACTGTGCATATCGCAGACATAATGTCCATATGCAGTCGTAAATACGATGAGCTGCCAAAAGAGTATCATCAGCTAAAAGGGAGGATAGTGTACAGAGGAGACAATGCTAAAGACCAGAATGGCACTCTCGCCATATATCAGAGTCTGTCAGCATCCCCGGCTACTATCACAGCCTACGACTAGCGCCGACGTTGTGAAAGCATATGTACAAGCTCCGTTAGGAAGTTTGCATGAAACATGGGTGCGTTTGCCTTGGCAATTATGGCCGGAATCTTGGAAAGGTAAGTACAAGAAGCCATTGATAAGGCTACGCAAAAGCCTTTACGGGCATCCGGAGTCGGGCGCACACTGGGCTCGATATCTCAAACGGGCCGTCATGAAGCTAGGGGGCCAGCCTGTGGATGGGCATCCTTCAACATGTTTCTTCAAGGAACGAAACCTCTTGTTGACTGTTTATGTTGATGATTTGCTGCTCTCAGGAAGCATCGCTTCACACACCCCCTTTTGGGAAGAATTGGGGAAGGTTATCGAGATCGAAGATATCGGTGATTTGGGAAGGTTCCTTGGTAGGCACCACGAACTTGTCAGAGTAAATGGTAGAGAGGGCATTGCCTTTAACGTAAGGGAATACATGAAATCTGCTGTTGAAATGTACTTGAAACTCAGTGGTGCAGAGACCATTAAGGGAGCTCCAACTCCATTCCTTCCAAAGGGATCAATCCTTCCAGAGGAATGGGAGGAGAAAGGCCAGCTCGAGGAACACGCATGTGCAGTTCTCATGAAACTCCTGTGGGGGGCCCGGCTAGGCCGCCCAGATGTGCTAAGGGCAATCACTCATCTTGCCACACTTGTCAGTAAGTGGAGTAAAGCATGTGATCGCATGTTGCATAGGCTCATGGCGTACGTGTCACAATCCACAGACTACACTCTGGTGGGGTACACAAATGACTCGCCGGAGGACTTGTGGCTGGAGATATACACAGATTCGGACTTCTCAGGCAGCCCTGATTGCGCTCATTCAACCAGTGGCGCATGGCTGCAGTTGCGTGGACCAAACTCTGTGTGGCCCCTTAGCTGGGCATCCAAGAAACAAACAGCAGTCTCTCGGTCAACAACAGAGGCAGAGGTCATTGCCATGGTCTTTGGTGTGTTCTCAGAGGCACTTCCCATGGAAGTGTTGTGGGGCATGGTCCTTCAGAGAGAAATTCACACTATCATCTACGAGGACAACGAGGCGACCGAGAAGATTGTACGCTCAGGGTTCAGCCAAAAGTTGAGACACATAACCCGCACTCATAAGGTTAACTTAGGTTCCTTGTGTGACATGGTTGCATCTCCGGACCGTACCCTGAAACATGTAACATCTGTTGACCAGATTGCAGACGTGTTCACGAAAGCAGTTGAGCAGCAGGGCTGGCAAAATGCTCTCAGGTTGCTCGGCATGACCACATCCGTGCCCGAGACCGTGAGGCGTTCCATGGCCGGTTTCAAGCTGCAGCAGGATCAAAAACCACAGTAGGTTTGGCTTGTATGCTTGTAGGCCATCTTGAATCCGTGCGCAAAAGCACAGGACTTGATCGGACTCAGCATCTTGTTGAACTTGAAACGATCGTCAACCGCTGCCGTTAGGCGCGATCCAAACCATGTGCGAAAAGACACTTGTGAGGATAACTTCGTGTGTTCGCCCGCTTGTGTCGCACCCACCGGACATCAGACCAGGGGGGTTACTTGTGAATGCATGCTAGCTGCTAACACTTGTGATCACCTTAATCGCAGACAAGGCAAAGGACGCACGTCATGATGTGTCAGCCTACAACAACATCAGTGGTTGTGACTGCTTTGGACGCATTGACAGTTGCCACCAAGAAATTTTGCACGAACCCAGCATACGGCTGGCAGCTCAGGCCCACTGGCAGTGTAATCGCGCTGATCTACATGAAGAGAGGGGGGAGAAGAATAACATCAACTCAAATGGTCATTTGGACCATACTCTACAGTGTGATCATGTGCCCCGGAATCGCAGTGCCATAGGTTTCCATTCCTAGCCTGAACTGTTTGCATCCTTACATTTGGCTCAAGGCAAAAGTCCGTGGGCGGGGGCGGGTCGAATCCCTTAAGTGTTCCTCGTTTGCGGTTGCCATAGCCTACACTGGAATCTGTCACTTGACAGTTGCTTGCACGGATTGCACAACTGGGTTCAGGCGGCGGATTCTTTTGTAGAAGCCAAGTATCAAACGAAGTTTAGAAGCAACTTCCATACGAACGCAAACTTAAATAAGGCAGGTTGCACAAAAATAAGATGAACAAAATGAACGCACAAAAATAAGATGAGCAAAATGAACGCATGCAAGACAACATGCGTGCAAACAGGCTCGGAGCGGGTGCGAAGAGATAGAGCGCCAAGTCTAGATGGATAGAAGAATTGCGCTTCTGGTTGCTAGACACGATCAACTCCATGCTTTATATTGGCTGAAAGCCTCCTTTTTCCTAGGTGCGGCGCGCGAACAGCCAGTTGTGCGGCAAAGGTCGGCGTACACTGTGGAAGCGCATGGCCAATGTGGTTTGCATCTTCAAATGTCCGCAACTGGCTTTCGAACAGTGGTGCAACACGCTTTTACCCAGTAGGACTAGTTTTGCGGGGAGCGACCTACGCTGTGGAAGCGCGTGGCCAGTGTGATTGCCATGGACATCATGATGAATGATGTGACTTCACGCGCGCTGATAACGTGGCCCCTTGTAGCTAGATAGATAGCTGGATGAACGGCCAGATAGATAGCTAGATGGATAGATAGACAGCTAGATGGATGGGTAAATATGTATATGGGTAGCTAGATGATAGTACAATGGAAGGAAGGGTAGCAAGATAGATAGGTAGAAAGGTGATTAGATAGGTAGATAAACGGAGAATAGGGAGACATAGGTGGAAGGAAAGTTAGGTAGATAGAGACACGGATAGACATATTGGAAGAAAAACGGGGACTACAAAGATACACGCAGTCACAAAGACAAATATGAGATCTATGCTACGCAATTTCCGACAGACAGGCAGGAAGGAACGAAAGACAAATAAGAGAGAGAGAGAGAGAGAGAGAAAGAGAAAAGAAAGGAAAGAGAAGCAAAAGGAAATCATAAGCATGAGAGGAAAGAAAGCAAGATAACGATAGTGAGAAACAGTCATAAAGAGAAAGATAAAGATAAAGAGATAATGAATAAGAGAAAGAGAGACAAGAATGAGGAAGATAAATAAGGCTATCCTTCCTTGTGAAACTTCCACTAGCCGTCTTCGCTGGCTCTACTGCTAGCCACTGGTAAAACAGTTGGCATGCGCTGGTTTCCCCAAAGCCCGCTTTCAACCGTTTCAACCAAGTGCGCTACCATCATACTGGGTTGCCCTTTTTGGGGTAGTTTAAAGGGACACCAGAAAGAAACCGCCAATTTTTGGGTTTTCGTTTCTTGACACAGGCCTTATGAGGCTCCGTTAGAGTTACCAGTTATCTACGGTTGCTTTGGAAGGCGTGAAGAGGGAGTAACTAAATCCCATGTGAGTACGTGTTACAATATGGAAATTGGTGGTTTTCCATTTGTGTTCCTTTCAAACTTTAAACCCACCAGCAAAAGGGCACCGCAAAAGCACTCCATGTTTGCGTGTAAAACCGCGAATCAAAGCAATCCCCTGGAGGTGTCCTTTCAAAACGGGGGTTGTCTGGGCTAAACGACTTCCATGTTCTTGCGGGGGAATATGTGTGACCATAGGTGTCCTTTTTGGTTGTTTTGCTAGGAAAATAGATGGCGATTCCTGGCTTACCTGGTGGTTTTCTCATCTACCAGGGAAACCCATCTATTTCCAACCTAAAAGGACACACCTATGTGTGTGACCGTTGGGCGAGGCGACCTGGGACACGGTTTGGAACTCCGTGGTGTGCGGGGCGGTTTGGCGCGCATCGGCACGTCGACTTCTCGAGCGGTCGACTTCGGGTAGGTCACCTGGCCTGGGCTCCACCAGGCGGGGGGTTTTGGGGTAGGGTTGCGCGGGGCTCCTTAAAAGAAATCTCCATTTTGCAACCACTTGAAACAAGTTGTTTTTTTCAACAGCAAAATCAAAGGACACCACCATTTACAAGTTGCAATGTTCAGGTGTAGAATGTAAGGATCCCTGTTGCGGTGGATTGGTTTGGGGTAGGTCGAGGGTAGGTTGAGCATTGGTTGAGCGTAGGTTGAGGGTTGGTTGAGCGTTGGTTGACGGGTTGAGGGGTTGGTTTAGGGTTGGTTTAGGGTTGGTTTAGGGGAGGTTTAGGGGAGGTTGAGGAAAGGTTTAGAGTTGGCTTTGGGTTTGTTCGGGGGGAGGGGTGCCGAGGAATTTTCGGTGGGGCCAATGGAATCTCAGGAAACCCTTCTCACTTGCCCAAAGCCGACCTTTTGACCTTGTAGTCTTCTTGGTCCCTGTTTCGTGGCCCAAAAAGGTGATCAGCCAACTCGGCTCTCGGGTTAGGTGTCCTTTTTAGCTGGTTTAGATAGATTTTATGATGAACCACTTCCCAGGGCCGTCTATTGTTGAAAAAAAAGGTTCATCAACCATAACCGTACCTATTGGGTATGCTACCTGACTGTTACTTCGCCCAACTGTTGGTGGTCAAGACACAGTTCCCACGTTTTCTGGCCAATCCGCTCAGGAAGTGAGCTCGAGAAAACCTTTTGAGGGATGCTCAAAATTTCAGGGTCCCCATTTTGGACCCATGTCGAGCAATCCTGTTTTGCCCTTTTCCTCCATTTGCTTGAGACGTTTTTTTTCCCTTCCTGGTTTTAAAAGGAATTCATCACTACTGGAAATATCTATTTTCCTCGGTCCTTAACCAAATGGAAGTTTTGCTCAACTACCGTCCCATCCAGCAAAATCAAACTTGAATGGCAACCCCTGTCACAGCTTTCTGCAGGGGGTCTGATGTCAAGAACTTGGGTCCGCGCAAATCATGAGAAGCTCGCCTGGATGTAGTTGAGCTTACCCATTGATGACGTTTTGTGGATTCCCGGTGTCCAATTTGTGAATTGTAGTAGCTTGTGCCCAGATGGGATACATCTGCCTTTTCTCTCATGGATGCATGACGGCATTTGGGAGGTTTCCCCATTGATTCAAGTCCACGCAACGCAGAAATCGCCGGAACGCCCCGCCGAGAGGTTTTCCGCCGCGGGGCCAAAGCCGCCGGAGGGGTTCCTTCGGATTCGTCCAGTTGAGAAACATCTTCTGCGGCCACACGGCTCCAGTGCTGGTAATCATTGCCGGCAAGACGGAGAAAAACCCGCAAAAGAGACCATGGCGGAGGTTGAAGCGCGGCAACCCTGGCTGGACTCGGACACCACCTATGTGATGATCGTGGTGCTCGTGGCCTACATGGCGCTGCTCACCATTCAGATTTTCTACACCTTCACCGGAAGGGGCGACCTCAGGCTCGCGCTCACCGGCAGAAGCTTCGCGCGAGAGCCCACGGCCGAGAGCCTGAAAGCCTTCCAACGAGCTGCCCGGTTGCCCCAAGTGGGTGGCGTTCTTCCGTGGGTTTCCTCTTCTTTTTTTGGGGGGAAGAGTTCGCTTTAAACTCCACCAGCCAGCCAAAAAAGGTGCTCTTCTTCTTTGTCTTCTGCAAACTCAACCAGCCAAAAAAAGGTGCTCTTTTTCTTCCTTAGACTCAGCCAACCCAAAAAAAGGGTGCTTGCTTCTCCTTACTCAACCAACCAAAAAGAGGCAGGCTCGCCCGATGGCCGGTAATTGGCGTCCTGGGTGAAGTGCCGGCAATTGACCAGCACTTGCTTAAAAATGGTTTTGTAGCCACATAGATTTGTTTGCCATCATCAAAGTGCAGTGCAAAGTCAATATTGTTGAAACGTCACTTCAGGATACCAGAGGGGATCCGGTTGAGGGGGGGCGACACGCTAGTGACACGCTCACATCCCAAAAAAGTGACCGTTCAACGTACATGTGCCGGCAATTGGCCACCCCCCCCCGACATGCCGTGACACGTGACACGCTCCTCAAGAACCCCTCCCAACCCCAAACTTGCCCTCCAAACCTCAAATTCGCCGCTCTCCCCTTTCCCCTGCAACCCCATTCCAAGGACCCTGGAAGGTCACTTGTATCATTGCACAAATTGCACTAAGTACAGATGAGTGACACTTGCTAGCAAATTGGTTTTGCAGTCACTTAGACATAAAGTGACATCGTTTTGCCCAAAATCGATGTGCAATTGGCCAGCCATTGGGGGGTGCTGGAGGTGCTCTTTTTCTTTAAACTCAACCAACCCAAAAACAGGTGCTATTTTTGTGTTTTGCTGCATCTTTTTTTTTTTTGGGGGGGGGGAAGGGTTCCCTTTAAACTCCACCAACCAAAAAGAGGTGTTTTTTTTGATTAAGCTCAGCCAACCAAAAACAAGGTGCTCTTCTTCTTTTTCTTCTGTAAACTCTGCCAACCAAAAAGAGGTGCCCTTTTCTCTTCTTTAAACTCAGCCAACCCAACAATAGGTTGCTCGTGTTCTTCCCCTGGCCACTGGGCATCCGAGGATGTGGAAGCCAGCCTTCCCGAGGTGCAGGTCGAGCAGGACATTTGCCCAGTCTGCTTGGACGAGATCCTGCCCGGGGAGCCGGCCCGACAGCTGGTGTGCAAGCACTGCTTCTTGACTGCTGGTAACGGATCAATTTAGACTTTTTGGTTGAAATCAAGTCGTGTTTTCCGCTAAACCCCCGAAAAGTGATAAAACATACTTTTTGCAGGGGGGTCAACAGCAACCAAGGCTTTCATTCGGAATGCATCTTGGGCTGGTTCACCCAGGGCGCGCGCAATCAGCACAAGATCACTTGCCCCGTGTGTAGGTGCGTCCATCCAGTTTACCGAGCATCTGAATGACGCACGGATCCAGGCGCGGAGCGAGCCTCACAAAAATCGAAGAGCCGAAGGCTCCTCATTGTAGGTTCCCAACAGCGCGGCGTCTTTTTTTTTTTTTAATAGCCCCGGAGCAGGGGCTTGGCCCCGGTCAGGGGACTGGTTGCTTGGTTGCTTGGTTGCTTGGTTGGTTAGTTGGTTGGTTGGTTGGTTTGTTGGTTGGCTGGCCGGTACAGCGATGCATTCACTGTTTTCTGTTGTATTGTGTATTCGTTCCTGGGGCTTGAGTAGAATGAGACAGCGCCTGTCTATCCCTGTGCTCTGTCTGCGTTCAAGAGCTGATGTTGCTCTCAAGAATACATTCAAGGGCTTCATGATGTTTGATGAGGCATTTCCGTGCATGATGACGCAGCATATCTGTGATTCATTGAGCACGCTTGTCACGCACGCAGAGGCGAGGATGGTGGTCTCAGACAAGATATTTTTTTCCACGCGCCACTGTGTTTACAATCCTTAGCCTCGGCATTGGTCAATAGCACAGCTGCAACGGTTTCGGCAGCTGCCGTGCCCCGTTGTCTTGGCCGTGCACCTTTTAAGGTTTACGCTCTTCCCGGCAGCTGAGTTGCCTTCCCACACCTAACCGTTCGACCTTCGGGCCCCGTTCCTTGAAAAGGAAAAATCTGTGAATCGGTGGGAGGGTATTAAGCAAAAGTTGGGAATTCGGAGTTCAGGCAGAGAGATGAAGCACACGTGTGGCCTCGGGCGAACACATGGTAAGAAGATCAACCCTAGATGAGCGTGAAAGTAACCGTACCACTTTCCCGTGCTGCCAGGAACATTTGCTCCTGAATAAGCTCTCAAACTTCAGGTTGACCTTTGTATTCTTGTTTGGCTGGAGGATTGCTTGCATCACGGGCAAGGGTACGAAGAACTTTAGCTAGATCGAACTGATTCTGGCACCGCGAGTTCGCTCAGCATTGCGAGCCATCGCCATGCCCATTCCCCTTTCCGTTTGAAGGCCGAGGAAACTGTTATCGTCCATTTCTTACTTCCCGAGTTCATGGACTTTTACTTTTTGGGAAGACCAATTTAGTGGTAAACAACATGGTTGGTTACTTTTTGGGCTGCTCCACTCGATCAGAAGTGATATTTTTATTTGTTTACATTCGCCTCGGAATGGCGATGCGGGACATGCGGATGGGTAGGTAGCTGCCCAGCCTTTGCTGCTGAACTGTGGCTAGGTCCCCCAGTAGTGCCCTTTTACCCTTTTTGGGGGGAGCGTTCCCCTACTAAAATAGACTGCAGAAGAAAAGGGTACCCTTATTCTAACCTCTCTACTGGAGGACCTAGGTCATGTGCCGCACAGTCTCGACCAGCTCTCTCCGAACTGGTCTGTTAAACCCAAGTGCTGCATGCTGAGAAATGCGCTCGGTGGTCTGAAAATAGGGGACCCGCAACACTGGTGGTTGTCCTTTTCGTCTCCTTCGAAGGCAACCCAAACCCCAAAGAAACCCATTTCAATGCTCTTTGACAAAGAATCAAGAAAGAACACCGGAGCTGCAAGAGTCGTGGGTTGCTAGCGACAAGTCGGAGGGTGATCCAGTTGTTTCACACAGGCCGGACACCCATGTCTGCTATTGCTTCTTTTGGGGTCACCCAGAGTTGAGTTGGGCGCCATAGTTTGGCCTTTCTTAAGTGTTTGTCTCGAAGACTTGGAACGAAAGACCAACGGTCTTGGCATTGTCACGGTATCATACGGTATCCCTTCTTTTTCTTTCTCCGAGTGCTCACATTGGCAGCCAAGCGGCTATGAACACACCCACCTGGAGTGTTTCCTGGGGTGCTTTGGGTGGTGGAAGCCCTTCAGAATATCAGCTATCCCCCAAACAAGTGGAGGAATTGAACCCTGGTTCCTGTAGAGGGTAAACGGGAAACCAGCAATGACCCGTTTTCCTGTTTCCGTTTGTGAATGATGCTTATTCGCCAGACTCCATCTTTTTGTTTTTTGGGACACGGGCTTGTCCTTAGATGTGGTCTCCACTTTGAACTAAGTCTTAGATATGTTTACATTCAAAGCATCCCCGATCCAGTGCCCCTTGCAACCTGGTTGAGTGGATTAAGTTGTTTTCCCATGCCAGGGGAAGCTCCAGGACGCCCCAGTGTAACGGCTACTCTTTGGAGGTTGCATGAGAGGTGCCGAACCAAATCCGAGGGAAAAGATTGAATCTGCAGAAATCATGTACACAACCTGTACTTGGGGATCCGATTCTTATTTCAGGGTTTCGAATTTCGTACTCACTTCCCGAGTTCCTGAACTTTAAGTTGTCTGCAAAAGTTTGGACTTGTGCTGGCCACTCAGCACTCAGAAAGTGAGCATATGATATTGCAACAAATGCAGATCAATCCCAATCTGAATGCTCAGCGATGCAGGAGAAGAAGGTGGCCTACAACGTGGAGTGGAGAACCCCGGAGGCTGGTTCTATCTTTTTGTTCGCTCGAAGCTCTTCGTGGGAAGACATGGTGTCTGCTTCTTTCTTTGAGGCGGTACCCTTTTTGGGGTTGGGCTTGAAAGGGACACCAAAAGGAAGCCAACCATTTGTGTCCCCTAACAATACACACCCACATGGGCCCCAAATCTTCCCCAAAAGCACCCAATCCTCACATCAATTGACCCCAAGTGATGCAGGCCCGAGACAGGTATTGGGATTCGTGAAAGGAAGTGCCCGGTTGATTTAGGTGCCCAACCGGCAGCTTCCCCTTGCCATTCACAGGGCCAAGCCCGCAGTAGGCTCTTTCCCTGAGGAATCCAGTTTGGATAAACACACATCAAGGTTGGGCACGATTGTATGAATCAGTCGGATCATGTCACATAAAGTCTCTGGACTTTATACGGTTTGTAAACACAAAGTTCGGACGTCTGACCATCCACTCAGGAAGTGAGTTGTGGAATATATTATATACACATAGTTTATATGTATATATTATATGCACAATATGTGCTCCTGTGTTTGGGTTTAATGGACATGTATGTATTGTGTGTTTGAACCGATGGTAGGTGTCACATGCATGTTTGGATCATCAACCACTGCATTTGCTGCTCCATCTTCATGCTGCTTTTCTTCTATTTGTGGTTTCTACAAATGAAGAAGAACATGTTTGAGGATCGCTGTGGCTAGGCTTTTCCTTCTCCACACCGTTCGCCAGCACTTTGCTCGAAAACCTTTATTAATCTAATATGGAAAGAGTTTAGATTTTCTGCATCTACCATCTCGTGCCATGAAACCCCCAAGATCATTTCATGAATGGCCCCAAGGGATGAGCCCTACCCATGGCGGCGTTTCTGAGAAGTTTGGTCTCGTTTTGTTCTGTCAGGATCGACGAAGGATTGGTATCTTCTGTCAGGATCGACGAACCGAGGCAGATTCAGAGAGAAGCATGTGGGGGTTGATCAAAAAGGGCCTTTCCAACGGATCACCATTGGGGGAAACAACCAAAAACATGATAGGTGCCACATGGAAAAAGTTACCCATGGTCATGTGGGGGCCCTAACGGAAGATTGATCAACCCCCATGTACCCCAGATATCTGAGATCTAGGCCGTTCGACCCGTCTTTTTCTTTGCAGGGCGCGGCCAAGCAAATGCGGGGGCACAAGGTTTCCGCCAGCAACAAGGCAGCGCCGCGAGAGATGTGGCGATGACAAGAGAAATGGCGCCCAAAGGAAGCAATGTTCTTGGACTCAGCGCCCGAGTTTTTAGACTTACTGTTTTTTCCTCTCTCTTTTTTGTCGGAGGACTATCTTGGTGGTAAGCTGAAGCCGCGTGTTGGTTTTTGAGTTGGACCTCGGCGAATCCACGGAAAAGGGCGGAAATCCTGGGAGGAATGAAAGGCTAAATTGTTCAGTCAGCGGTCGACCAAAACTGAGAATAAAAACCATTTTGAGAGGCAAAGATGGGGAGCCGGGTTGTCCGTATTTGGGACACGGCAAGACCGACTGCTTACCTCAAGTGGCAAAGCAAAAGCTGTGGGAATGACGAGGGTGGAGCTTCGCGAGATTGAACATCACCCCCAAATTGCGTTTCGCAAACCTCGAAAAGGGTAGCCCACCAGGTTGCACAGGTCACAACCCCTCTTCAACAATCACCCCACCCAAAGAGCATCTTAAGATTGGTGCACGTTATGTAAATGTAGGTCCAAAGCAGACATTTGAGGACTTTGTTCAGCGACCAGGCCTGATCTCTTGAGTCCGCAGACCTAAGGTATCCCCCGACTCCCCAGCCCAATAGGCAGTGTGTCAAATGTGGGAACCCTTCCAAAGGATTGGTGTCATTTACCAGACACACACACACAGACACACACACACACAAACACACAACCACACAAACACACAAGCACACACACACAACCACAAACACAAACACACACACACAAACACACACACACACAAGCACACACACAAACACACACAAACACACACAAACACACACACACACACGCAAACACACACACACACAAACACACAAACACACAAACACACAAGCACACACACACAACCACAAACACAAACACACACACAAACACACACACACACAAGCACACACAAACACACACAAACACACACAAACACACACACACACAAACACACACACACACACACAAACACACAAACACACACAAACACACACAAGCACACACACAACCACACACAAACACACAAAAACACAGAAACACACACACACAAACACACACAAACACACAAACACACAAAAACACAAACACACACACACAAACACACAAACACACAAACACACAAACGCACAAACACACACAAACACACAAAAACACAGAAACACACACACAAACACGCAAACACACAAACACACAAACACACAAAAACACAAACACACACACACAATCACACAAACACACAAACACACAAACGCGCACAAACACACACAAACACACACACACACAAACACACACAACCACACACACAAGCACACAAGCACACAAGCACACAAACACACAAACACACACAAACACTCAACCACTCAACCACTCAAGCACACAAGCACACAGGCACACTGGCACACAGGCACACAAACACACCAACACACCAACACACAAACACACAAACACACACACACACACAAACACACAAACACACAAACACACAAGCACACAAGCACACAGGCACACAGGCACACAGGCACACAGGCACACAAGCACACAGGCACACAGGCACACAAACACACCAACACACCAACACACAAACACACAAAAACACACAAAACACACAAACACACACACACACAAACACACACACACACAAACACACACACACAAACACACACAAACACACACACACACAAACACACACACAAACACACACAAACACACACAAACACACACAAACACACACACAAACACACACACACAAACACAAAAACCCACAAACACACACAACCACACACAAACACACACACACACAAACACACAAACACACACAAACACACAAACACACACACACACACACAAAACACACAAAACACACAACAACACACACAAACACACACACACACAAACACACACAAACACACACACAAAAACACAAACACACACACACAAACACACACACACAAACACACACACAAACACACACACACACACACACAAACACACACACACAAATACACAAACACACAAACACACACAAACACACACACACACAAACACGCACACAAACACACACCAACACACACAAACACACACACAACCACACACAAACACACAAAAGCACAGAAACACACAAACACACAAACACACAAACACACAAAAACACAAAAACACAAACACACACACACACAAACACACAAACACACAAACACACAAACACACAAACCCACAAACACACAAACACACAAACACACAAACAGACAAACAGACAAACACACAAACACACAAGCACACAAGCACACAAGCACACAAGCACACAAACACACAAACACACAAACCCACAAACCCACAAACGAACAAACAGACAAACAGACAAACACACAAACACACAAGCACACAAGCACACAAGCACACAAGCACACAGGCACACAGGCACACAGGCACACAGGCACACAGGCACACAAGCACACAGGCACACAGGCACACAAACACACCAACACACCAACACACAAACACACAAAAACACACAAAAACCAAACAAACACACACACACACACAAACACACACACAAGCACACACAAACAGACACAAACACACACACACACAAACACACACACACACAAACACACACAAACACACACACACAAACACACAAAACACACAAAAACACACACAAACACACACAAACACACACACACACACAAACACACACACACACACACAAACACACACACACACAAACACACAAACACACACAAACACACACACACAAACACACACACACACACAAACACACACACACACAAGCACACACAAACACACAAACACACACACACAAACACACACAAACACACACACAAACACACACAACCACACACAAACACACACACAAACACGCACAACCACACACAAACACACAAAAACACACACAAAAACACACACACACACACAAACACGCAAAAACACAAACACACACACACAAACACACACACAGACAAACACACAAACACACAAACACACAAACACACAAACACACAAACCCACAAACACACAAACACACAAACAGACAAACAGACAAACACACAAACACACAAGCACACAAGCACACAAGTACACAAGCACACAAGCACACAAGCACACAAGCACACAAACACACAAACACACAAACACACAAACCCACAAACCCACAAACCCACAAACGCACAAACAGACAAACAGACAAACAGACAAACACACAAGCACACAAGCACACAAGCACACAAGCACACAAGCACACAGGCACACAGGCACACAGGCACACAGGCACACAGGCACACAGGCACACAAGCACACAGGCACACAGGCACACAAACACACCAACACACCAACACACAAACACGCAAAAACACACAAAAACCACACAAACACACACAAACAGACACAAACAGACACACAAACACACACAAACAGACACACACACAAACAAACACACACAAACGAACACACACACACACAAACACACACACACACACACAAACACACACACACACACAAACACACAAACACACACACACACCCACACACACACACACACGCACGCACGCACGCACGCACGCGCACGCACGCACGCACGCACGCGCACGCGCGCGCGCGCGCGCGCGCGCGCGCACGGACGCACGCACGCACGCACGCGCGCGCGCACGCGCACGCTTACGCTTACGCGCACGCGCACGCGCACACGCACGCGCACGCGCACGCGCACGCGCACGCACACGCACACGCACACGCACACGCACACGCGCACGCACACGCACACTCACACGCGCACACAAACACACAAACACACAAACACACAAACACACAAACACACAAACACACACACACACACACACACACAAACACACACACACACACAAACACACACACACAAACACACACACACACAAACACACACACAAGCACACACACACAAACACACACACACACAAACACACAACCACACACAAACACACAACCACACAACCACACAAACACACAAACGCACAAATGCACACAAACACACACACAAACACACACACACACACACACACAAACCCACACCCACACCCACACCCACACCCACACCCATACCCACACCCACACCCACACCCACACCCACACCCACGCACGCACGCACGCGCGCACGCACTCACGCACGCAGGCACACACACACACACGACACACGACACACGACACACAGGACACAGGACACAGGACACAGGACACACACACACCCCACACACACAGACACACACGACACACGGGACACACACACACAGACACACACACCGCACACACACACACACAGGACACACACACACACCACACACACACACACACACTGGAAGGGCCCTGCCCGGGGACAGAATAGGCATGGGTCTTCGAGTTTTGCCAATGGTATCTTGCCTGTATTGGCATGGTATTTGGTTCGAGTGAAAACGGAAGCGACAAAATAGTTTTGCCCTGGAAAGCCAGCTAAGGCTCATCACTTAGACTCGCTGGCTTTCCTGTCTAAGACTCTGTGAGTCCGAAAAACTACATGTCCAACGTCAGTACCTCAGTAGTCCAGCACTTTGGTATACAGGTTTCACACACAGCCGCGTCATTCCTTAGACCAGGGTGAAGGCAGATGGCACAATTCCTCTCTGTCAGTAAGGGGAGTTGCCCATCCGGCCCGAGGAAAGCGCTTGGGCAACTGTGCGCCATTTTCCAGCCCAAAAAACAGATCTTATCTTGCAGATACCAATCCCCACACCACAAAAACCAGGTCCAATTCCAACCGCTTTTCCCTACTTCACGACAAGGCTTGTTGGGTCTGACCTTGGGCGTCCCCGAGGAGGGCGTCTTGAGTGCCCAAAACCCCTGGCCATTTAAGGTTTGCTGGGGCCAAAAGAGCGAGGTCTATACCGCCTCCCAACTGCCTTCTCCCATGCCCAAAATTTCAAGTCCTGTCCGAAAAGGCAGCGGTTGCGGGGGCGCTGGCATGAGCCTTCCCAACGCAGAACCGAAGAACAGCGGGTTTTGGGGCAGAACCCAACTCGGGTTTGGTATCTATGTAGATGTTTTGGAGAATATAGTTAACGAGTGCAAGAAAATGGACAGAATTCAGAAAAGAACGACTACAAATAATGAACCTGGACCTTCTCCGCTCACTCGCCATTTTTGGGGCGGCGAGGTGGTCGTGGGTAACTTGCCGCCCGGGCCCGGCCGCCCCAGCGCGAGGAAGTTTGGGGTGTTCAGAGCAGTCGCCCAAAGTGGATCGACCTTTTGACCTTTGGGTTTCTGGTCCATGTGTAGTCATGGCACCAAAAGGTGGTCACCTTTTATTTCTGGGTGCTTTGGGCAAGTGAGTGTGTGGAGCGCCCTTCTTGGTGTTCAGGGGAAAGCGAGAGGAAAGCCCGCATTTGGGGGACTTGGTGAGTGCAAATGCTGATTCAGAGCCATAGCAATCGGGAGCCATGGGAAATCATGAGCCGAAAACTGGCCGATGGCCCCTAGTGGCTAACAACTTACTGCGACTCCGAATCAGCACAAGGTGTCTGATTTGTGTATGTGTGTGTGTGTTGTATCAGCACCTTCCAAGGTGGTACCCAAAGTGGCTCACACAAATGGACCACCCTCGCAGGGTGCTGGTATGTCTGTGTGTTTTTGAGGCGAGGGGTAGCCTTTGACTTCTTAAAGGCACACCTTCCAAGTCGGCCTTGGCTCAAGGTCCACAAAGGCTTCCACGAAATCCGGTTTGGGAACCTCAAAACCATCAAAGGAACAAATATCCAAGAACTTAGCCCACAATTTCTAGAAAATCGTTAGACCAGAATTTTGGGTACATGCCGGGCTTCCATGGGCTACCAAAATGAAAACAGTTCAAAGAGTTGCAACGATGGCCATGGCCCACTTGGGTTTTTGCGCAAAATCGATTTCTGGCCGTCCGCAAACCAACGGGTGCAATGTTCCGTTGTTCATCACGAGTTCTACTTAGCTCCGGGACAGCAGTATTTACCATGGCCGTGCACATGGGAAGGGTTTGCTTATTATTTGATATTCATGTCGGGAGACAATACATATGGCTGTGGGTCAAAACCAATGGTACCATTTTGGGGTAGGTGCACCACTCATTTTAGTCTATTTTAGTGGGGATTGGGATGTTCACTGCGGGTACGGGATTTTCACAAGCGCGTATTGCATATATGTTCAGCAGCACGTTCAGACCCGTGACGTACGAAGCCCGAGGCTTCTGTGCTTCCGGGTGGGCGCGCGAGTGGCGAGTACCGTGGACGATGAGGAGCTCGCCGAGCTTGGGACTCCAAAAAGATGTATATATATATATATATATATATACAGGTTTGTGTCCGGCGAGGGGCTTCCCAAAATGAAAATGGCCCTTGTGGCTCCCCTCTTGCATCATTTTGTTGACCGAATTTTTGGGCTTCCCATTGCGGGTTGCGAGCGCTTGCACCCAGGCACAATTACGTATAGCATCCGACTGAAACCCATTTCTTCGAGCCCATTCGAGGGTTTCTCAAAATGGAGAACGCCCACCTTTTCACCATTTCAGCCGAAAACCCGCAGGGTTCCGATATTAAGAAGCATGGTTGTCCTTGATCCCCATGTTTCTTTTCCAGACACTTACCCTTGAACAAATTGCAGTTGCTGGGCGACAATCCAGGAATTCTCCAAGAAATTTGCCAAAATCCACAGAAACCCGGGGGGGGGGGATTCCACAGAAATTTCATGGTTTGATGTTTCCTTTAAAACCTGCAATGGGTTATATATGGAGTTTCAATATCGGAAATTGTCTGAGAAATCAAGTACATGAATAGTACTGTTCCCGAAAGTAGCCTCCCAGACGGCTCCTGTCGAATTCCATTGTTGGAGGGAGGGTGTTCTACACAACAAACAACACGTTTTGCCCTCCCCACTAACACAGCGCAACAAGTTCCCTTTTAGAGGAAACTGATCCTCCAGGTACCCTCCCACAGGTGCTACTATCATCCAAATTGGGTCAACCATTCTTTAAATGAGGATTGACCCCTCGGGATAAGGTTTGTAGGTTTTTACGTTGGGAATCGTATCATTCCGATGCGTTTCTGAACGGTGCTCAGAAGCGGATTTCGCCATAGCATGCGGGGGGGGGTCGTCTTTGAGGGTGCCCACAGTTTGTTTGGGTGGTTTAGAGGGAAACCACAAGGAAGAGCCACCATGCTCATTTTCTGAGTTCCGTTTCGGACTTTAGTCACTTTTTGGGTTTGGTTTCATTTTAGTGGCAAACAAAAGGTTTGCCGGCTTATTTTTTGGCCAGTCTCGATCGAAAGTGAGCTTCTGGGAGGAAGGGGAACTCACTTCCAGATGTCCAAGGCACTTTCAGGCAAGCCTTAATTGGGGGTTTGGAATTTTGATTTGAGATATGAACGGGTCCCTAACTCTTGGCTCAAAGCGGGGTACACACCAGATTTCTCAAGATATTTTCTGTACCCTTGGTTTGGTAAGGGAAACCCAAAGGAAATACCTTGGCCAGGACCTGCGACTCTTTGGGCCGTGGGCCGAGCTTCTTGCGGGCGACCCGTGAGGCGCGGCGTGAGGAGCGGCGGAAAGCTCGTGTCGGGGCACGGGAGGGGCAAAAGAGGACCCCCCCTCAAGCAAGGGCCATCCCGTTTTCCCCCCCTTCTAATTGTTCTTTCATTTGCTTAAGAAGACTGTTGTTGTTTTTTTCCCCTTCTTGGTTTTAAAGGGAATCGATTTGGGCCGACAACGCAAACGGAAGTTTTGCGCACTTGAAGCAACCCGGAGCCAGAAAAAGGTGGTCACATTTGGAAGGGTCCTGCATACCAAAACCCAGGGTGTTTGACACGGTGGATGCTCTAAAGTTTGCAAGTAAATCAATCACACCGGCAAACCAAAACCACATGACATTACGGTTACGCTAAGTTGGGGAGTTCCCCGTGTTCCCTAGGTGCTACTGTATATTTCGGGCAGGGTGGTCTACTCCAACTTTCTGGCATGAGGGAGGGTCTATTCCCTAGCTCCGTCTGAATTAGGTCATGGTGGAACCGCTGCCAACCCGGGATTGTCACAGTATGGTATCGTGCCCCGGGTTTCTCTTCAAGCCTTGCAGGAACTGGCTTGCCTTCCTTTCCAACTCCTCTCCATTAGCTCAAAATCTAGTTGGCAAGCCGACCCTAGATAGAAGTCGAGACAGGAAACTGCCCGAACCAATCTGGGTGTGTCTTTTTTTGCGAGCACCCTTTTTTAGTGGTGTTTCATGAACATCAAAGGGAACACCACCGTTGTGGGGGTCCTCTGCGAAAATGCACACCCACGTGTGTGGTGTTCTCTGGCAGAAGAAGATCAAGAAGAAGAAGAAGAAGAAGAAGCATGATCGATGGAGCCTTTCCTTTCCCCATTTCGGTGGCTTCTATCTTTGCCACCCCTCCTCAAGCCGCATCTTCCAGGCTGATCCTTAGCCTTTGGCTCAACATTCGCGAGGTGTTCCCAAAACCGGCCACTCCGTTTGGTGAAACCCAGCGCGGGTTCCCGTTCCCATCTCGTGGGAAGCGAGCGATGCCGCCCTACCGACCGCCCCACATGCGGAACCAGCCGCCGCTGCCGCGGCTGCAGCTGATGAACCGCAACGAGGCCATCCTCACGCAGCCCTCGCAGAGCGACACCATAGGCCGCAGGGGAGGGAGGGGGACCTCGTTTTTTTTGGTTTTCCCCAACCGCAAACCAGTTGTTCGGTTTGTTTTTCCCTTTTTTCCAACCGCAAACCTTTTTTTTTGGCGGCCTCCATTCTACTTTTTGGTCGATGGGTCAGACAACTTTGTTATTCTTTGTGTTTGGATCATTTAACTGGAATCACAAGTTCAGACTTTGCTTGGCCAATCCACTCAGGAAGTTCGAGATCCAGGTGGGATAATGAAATATCCCTGCGCCTAAGAATTATGAAGGGACATGTCCCTGAATGGTTCTTGCTTCAAAAAGTCCGCAAAACGAAAGGAGAAAAAGACAAAATCAAAAACGAGAACAGGGCGTCAGTCACGACTTTCAAGGCGTTGGGGGTTTCCACTGTACTCTTGTCTTTGGGGCCCCACTGTGCTCTTATTTGGGGGAAAATAAGAGTACAGTGGGCCCACCGTGCTCTCATTTGCCCCCAAACAAGGGCACAGTGGGGGGAAAATAAGAGTACAGTTTGGGAGAGTTGGCCGTCGTAGCTTTGGGGGGCTTAGCGGCTCAGAACTGTTATAACACATAACTTAAGCTATGACCGTTTCAAGGTTCAGCATTCTTTACCTGAACGGGAACGCGGGCTCAGGCTGAGGCTAATGCTTTGGGTTGAGTGCGACATTTGGAGCTGAGTGTCAAAATCGTAAGAGCTAAGAGTTAAGTAGGGGCTTAGTTAAGAGCCAAGTGGGGAAAAACAAGAGATCAGTTAAGAGCTAAGCGTGGAAACAAGAGCCAAGTTAAGCGTCAAGTGTTATCCCCGAAAGAGCCAAGTAGCCGCGAAAGAGCCAAGTTTCAGCCCCAAAGAGCCAGTAGGAGCCAAGTGTTAGCCTCGTAAGGGCCAAGTGTTGGCCAGGCATATGGCGGGGCATAACCTATGGCGATCCCATTTTGGGGTGGATGAACATCCATTTGCCACCTATTTTGATGGTCACCAGGGGTTTCCTGGGTTTTGACAACCACAGCCATATAAACCCCGTAAGAGCTAAGAGTTCGCCCACGAGAAGGGTCAAGTATTGGCCTCGTAAGAGTGAAGTATTAGCCGAAGATAAAGGGCAAGTATACCCTGAAGAAAATGTGTCAGAGCACGTCTCTAAAGTGTGAAGGCATGTTTAGAGGCCATGTTTGCTGCTGTTGTTTGACTTGTGCCTCGATGCTTATGACTTGATTGAAACAGCATTGGAACATGTTCACGATGTAGGGACATGTGGACACATGTAGAGGTTGATGTGGGATGATGTGATTTGGATTTGTTGTTTATTGTTTGAATTGAGGTTGGGTTCCGTTGCCCATTTCGCAACCAGGCACGTGGCTGGCCATGAGTCGATGGTTGTTTCTGGGCGTCCATGCTGTGAACTCCCGGGTGGGCCCTATATAAATTCATGCTTCTCACTCCTCCTTTTCTTTTCCAGTTGAATTTGCAAACTTCAATACTGTTTCCCGCACCCAGGTCGTTTTGGGGACACTTGAGATGGTCGACATGGGAAGCAACAGCATCCGGTTCCTCGATCGTCGGCCTTATTCTTGAAAGGGGACAGTCACTTGTGTCACTTGTCCTGGACACATGGCCGTGGCTCAAAGGATGGAATCCCCAACACGGCACCCTGGTAAATGGAATCGACTACCCTCCCCCAGACGATTCCATGGAAGCTCCAAAAGGGACCCCTTTGGAAGACTTGGTCCCATTTACAGAGGCCTTCTGGGAGCTTCCACGTTAGTCTGAGGGAGTGTAAACCCTGCGGTTTGCCCCAGCTCTTTCATTTTGAGCCACACATGGCTAGGTGAAGATTTGCCTTCTGGCAACCTCTGAGCTTTTTTAGCATCGAAGTCGCCAAAGTTTTGCCCAGTGACTCAGTTTCAAAGCGGGCCGCTTCAAGGCATCGCAACTGGGGCACTGGCGGCGTCGAACTACGCCGTCATTTGAGACGCCACTTACTTTGGGGTTGTGTCAACTTACCGGTCCCGTTTTTTGACTACCCCAAGGAAGAATTAAACCCAGGGATGGTTGATTCCCCCAAAAGGGACACCGCTGGGTTTAAGTCTACCCCAAGGTAGATTAAAAAAACAAGAACCCTGTACCGTTCACTTGCCTGGGAGCCCGAGCTCCCCGAAATCTGCAGGCCTACCCCCAAAGAAACTGCTCAAGTCATCGGGTTTTGACACCCTAGGGTCTGACATGTGTCTTTTCTTTTTTTCGGGTTTGTACCTCGGTCTTGACAGTCAAGAATTCCCGACCTGTTTCTTTTTTTCCATTTGGTGTCGGGAAGCCCAGTCTTTAACCCGACATTCCCTCCCCGTCCCCTCGTCCGTCCGTCCCTTTGGAGCGGGCGGGCGCCTTCCGCCGCCTTCCAGAAGGCTCCTTGATCACGAACCTGGCGGAGGAGTTCCACGTGCCCGAGGACCTCATCTCGCTGGACAAGGACGGGGCCAAGCTGACCAACATGGCCGAGAAGCTCGCGGAGATCGGCCAGGCCGTGATCCAGGCCCGGAACGAGGAGGATGGCCCCTTTTAAAATTAAATCGGAGGATGGGAACTAGGGCGCGTCTCTTTTCGTTTGAACGGTTGCTAAAGCCAGGCCCTTGTGGGGAAGCCCGAGCAGGGCAACTGTCCAACCTGTTGGGAGGGGGAAAAAGGCAACTAGGTCCCCCAGCAAAGTGCCAACTTTCTCACCGGTTTCTTTTTTGGCTGGGAGGGGAATCCCCTGCGAAAATAGACGTCCATAAAAAAGTTGGTACCCTTATTCTAAGCTCTCCACTGGAGGACCTAGAAGATGAATCCTCCCGGAGTTCTGTAAGAAAAGGGTTGAGTTCGTGTGCGTTGGTTGTGTCTGTGTTTTTCTGAGGGCAAAAAACAGATAAACAAGGAGGAGGCGTCGCTTAAAGGGGCGGACTCGTTGTGTCTGTGTGTGTGTGTATGTGTGCAGGCGAAAGTCACCCTTTCTGGCTTGCCCCTGGGGGGATATGTGTGTATTTCCCCTGTTTTTTAGAAAGGGAATCGACTTCACTACTGCACATATGTGCATGTGTGGGAACTGCAGCAAATGGATGTCATGTCTTTGGTGTGACCCCCCATCGCCTTGCTCGAGTTTTGGTCCGCTTTTCTCTTTGCCGGGGGGGTCCATCTTTCGCAAAACTCCCGGGAGTTTTTGAGCCATGCCTCAAATCAACTGGCCGGTTCCTCTACTTGAGATTTCGCCGGGGATGGTCCACCTCAAGACCCATAGCGATTCTAGAGATTCCTGGGACCATGACCCAAGGAAAAAGAAGGAGTTTGGACCATGTGTATGATTTGTCCATACCACAAGCTGGTCGACCTTTTGCTATGGATCAGCCCCTGGAACAGGTGCAGCTTCGCGCGGGCACAGACACACCGAAGTAATTTATCAAACCTTAAAAAGGTGTCCCGTTGTCCATGGCCACGACAATGGGTCTGGGGTGAAAAGTTGTTTAAAGCGAACGCGCCATGAGCCATGATGGGTGTGGCAGACCCGGTGCCTCAGGCAATCTTAGGCAACTGGGTCTGTGGTTGTTGTTGTTTGTTTGTTTGTTTGTTTGTTGTGTGTGTGTGTGTGTTCAAGGCCAGCCAAAGAAAAGCCCGGGTGCCAACCACACACCCCAAATGCCCACCCTTGGAAAAGAACTCATATGGGCGTGTCTCCTTTTGAGGGTATCCAATTTGAGGTGGTTCAAAAGAGAAACGCAAAGCCAGCCGCCCATTGTCAGGGCGGCGCACTTTTGAGAGCCCAAATAGACCAAAATTGGAGGGGGCAGGGATCCTGTAGAAAAGGCTCGGACAAAGCGAAATCGCGCCAGGTTACGGTACAGCAAGCCACTCACGATCAGATGGAGC